TCAACCATTTTCGTCTATACATTCATTATATCTTTGCTCATGTCTATCCTTTATTACTTCGATGGTCCCCCTCATCCCCTTTCCCCCTCCCCGAAGAGCCTCCCCTAAGGGGTATACAGTTGGCATACACCTCCTGACCTCTTCGCTACTTGGTTGAGGTCTGCGTTCCCAATTCCCCCCTCCCTTATTCTTTCAATCATGTAAGTTTCAATATAAGCCATTATGCTTATTGCATATTGTTACCAATCCAAATATTTCGAGATACATAATACCTCAAACACCAACTTATATCTCTATTCACATTATATGGTGCCAATTATAATCTAAGAGCAGCTAGCATCCTTTCTTGGACGTTTTGACTGGCTTTGCAAAGCCTGACTCGATTCTCCTTCTTCACTACTAGATGTAGTTATGTCGAAAGCTTCCCTTTGTTGGGCTTCTTCTTCCTCCATAGCTTCTGATTCCAACGACGTCATACTGATTCCCAGTCTCTCCAGCATTCTCCTTGCCTCTACTGGATTTTTTGCTCGGAAAAGTTTACCTTCTCTAAATACCAGTATTACTGCTGGGTATCCCCATGTAAATAGTATTCCATTTTCAAATAGTTTTTGAGTGTAAGGTTTTAACATTCCTCTTTGCTGCAGCGTCTCTGGAGAAAGGTCCTGTCTTATAATTACTTTATATTCATTAAATTGTAAGTCCTTCTGTGTTTTTAACCTTTTATAAACACTGTCTCTTGTTTTCTCTCTTGCAAATGCCATAATAATGTCCCTTGGCTTTGCTCCCAGACTAGGCTTGGGGCGGAGAGATCTGTGTACTCTTTCAATTTCTTCCGGACCTATTTTTATTCCATATTCCTCAAACCATTCAAGTATCTTTGTTTCAAGGTCTTTCTGCATAATAGCTTCAGGAATGCCAGATAAGCGAATGTTTCTCCTTCTTTGATGGTCGCTCATGGAAGCTAATCTACTAGTCAGCTCCTTAATTTTGGCCTCATCAGCGACAGCTTTTTGGGCTGCCTTTTCAGCAACCTTTTTTAGGCTCTTAACTTCTAATGCCAACTGGCTCAAATCTGTTTTAAGAGCTTTAATATCCCCTCTCACATTCTGTTCCGAAGTGGCAATAAGCTGTGTTAAATCTTTCAATTCCTTCTTAGTCGTCATTTTTACACTGCTCCTCTTGTAACAGCCTCCACCCAGGGAGAGTGGAGAAGAAAATAAACACAATTTATATCACTCACTTCCGAAATCTCGTGCAGCTCAAACCTCCTTGATTCTCTGCCACTTTTCGCAGAAGTTTCAGGTTGTTTCCCAAAGATTTATCTCTCTTCTTTGGCGGCTTAATAACTGACTTCTCCAGGAGGTAATTTGGAAGCGTCTTAACCAAACCGACGCATGCGTAGAACCCATTTTCTTTTAATTGTCTAGCTATTTTTCCCCCAACATTCCCTGATAAATTTATACTGCCACTAACAGTATATAAAATCTGCTTTTTGTCCACAGTTTTTTCTACAGTAAGGACTATTGTTTATTTGATGTAAAGTGGTTGGTGTCATATACCATCTGGTTAGTAATTTTATTGCTGTCAGATTCTTGGACAAAGTTACTTTCAACAACATTCTCTGGCAGTGATTTGTTTATTGAGAAGTAAAGATATTCCAAGCTAAGACAGGTACTGTGTCAGAACTGAGGTTCTGGTGGCAAAACTCAAAGATATAGACAGTTCAAACAAGGGAAGAAGGGAGCCTACTTGAGAAGAGTTACATCACCACTACAACAGAGCTACTCTCACACTCACACACACTTCTAAGCAGGGCTCTACTGGTAGCAGGAGCTCCTTTGCATATTAGGCCACACACCCCTAGTGTAGCCAATCCTCCAAGAGCTTACAGTAGCCCCAGTAAGAAGAGCTCTGTAAGCTCTTGGAGGATTGGCTACACTAGGGGTGTGTGTCCTAATATGCAAAGGAGCTCCTGCTACCAGTAGAGCCCTGCCCTCAGGAATTTCTCTCCCTTTGCAGGCCTCAACTCCCCAGAAATATGGCAAACGAGAGTCCAAGTTTGACAATTGCTTGTAATCGTACTGCAAAATTTTTGAATTTAAACTATCCGAATTCCATATTAAGTTCCAATTATCTTCAGTTAATGTTCTTTCCAAATCCATTTTCCATTGTTTTTGATATAACAACACAGGGGTCTCTTCTAATCTATTCAATATTTTGTATAAAGATGTTATCAAACCTGGTGTTAATTAATACAAATCTATCTGATGTTTTGGATCTTTAGAAAAAGAACAGTAGACTAACACCCCCCTCCCTTTGAAAGTACACGTAGGACTGAGACTACTTTAATCAGGTTTTGCTCAGAAGATATTCTAAATACTTCTTGTACTCGAAGGTCAGCAGACAGGCCAGTCATGCAAGGGTAACTGGTGGATAACATTTATAAAATTCTTTTTTTTTTTTAATTATAACATTTATAAAATTCTGTTTGATTTTGGTGAAGCTTTGTTTCCTGACAAAGATTTGCTGTTTTCTTCCTTCTATGAATCAAAAGTAACCCTGAAACTTCCAAATTCAGAATCTTCCTATTAGATGTTATCAGCCACTCAATTTTGTATGTTCTTGTGTAGATAGTAACTGATTTAAAGAAATGTACCAATGTAGCACAGGCCAATCTAACAGGATCCACACCATAGTCATTGGGTAAAAAATGGTATATGTTTCCAGAACGAGAGATCCATATCATTCCAGGAGGACAGGCCTGTCATTTTGGGAAGACATGCTATGTCATTCCAGGAAGAATATGTCACACATGCACCATATCATGAAATAGTAGTAAACTTTGCATAAGTCATATGAAATCATTGGAAAGCACTGGAAATCCTGGCTTGGGAGACTGGCTTCAGTCCTAAAGACACTGTCCTGGAAGTAAGCCCCACTGAATAACACTGGTCTTATTTCTGATTAGACCTGCTTAGGACTGCTCCCTTAATATACTTCAAAATACAAAATGTGAATTTTGTTTGGCAATGAATAGTTCAAAATAAGAAAATATTAACTGGATAATAATTTTTGCCATCTTCTTGTAATTTTTAAGTTTTCTGTGTTGAATGTTGTGCCAAATAACTACAGGAATTCACTCAGTTTTGCAAATGGCCGCTGGAAATCATCATGATTTTACTCAGAACACTCTAAAATAATTGTAGTGTAAGAAATGAAGTGAGACATATGTACTTTTCTCTCTCTACTGAAGGACCTCTCTCTAGACCACACTGGTGGTTCTGCTCTCAGGTGCTAGGATCACCAGGCTGCTTGATGAGCTCACTCTGGAGCAGGCCACATAGAACTGTCAATTTAAGAAGCAGTTATCTGTTAAGTCAACTCCTGCTACCTTCCACAAAAGTGATGGCCTCTCTACTTGTGTTCCTGGATTGTTTTACTCATATGGAGACTGTGTTGTTCTGAGAACCTCAGGGTGATCTTGCTGGTACTTGGCTTTTGCAGTTCAGTGCACTGCAGGAGTACTATGTGAAAATGTCTTTGCTGCATTCCTAAATTGCCTCCTTCTTGTAGTGTTGGTGTATCTGGCTCGACATTTGCCAGGAGCTTTCTTGGGGGCAGTAAGAGGTGAGAGGTGTGAGGGGGAGTTGGTGTGAGGGAGTGGTGATGTGGTGGACATTTCTTCAGGTTCATGAGGGAGGTACACATCGAAATTGCTCCTAGAAATGTCCTTTACCCCATAAACATCAACCGGAAGTCGGGAACTAGTAGATTGTTATAACACATGGTTAAAACATTATTGCATTCTAGCAATCAGTCAGCTGCTGATTTTTAAGGCCAGAACATTCCATCCAGTAGCACAAGGGGAAGTGGCAGCCATGGGGGTGGGGGGGAGTTGTGGTACGCAAAGTACATGGAAAACTAGATGCCAGGTAGGTGCTCCATTGCCGATTCATGCCTCAGCATTCACATTGGCAAAGAAAGTTACCTGAAGAATTGCACAGTGACCTAGAAACCAGCCTAGGTCACTGTAATGACCCAGCTCCAGCAAATATGTGGCTTTTCTGTGGTGATCGTGAAAATATAGTTCACAGACAGCCCAAACACAAAAAAGGCTGCAAGCTGCAGCACAAATTTGTTACTTATTACCAAGACACAAGCTGGTCATCATCCATCCGCCGCATGTGAGATGGATTTCTATAAAAATCATTGAGGTCATCTGATAAGTGTAAGAGAGAAATTTCTATCAATGTAAGTTTGTGGGGTGATCATATTCATATCTACGTTCTCAGCATCCCTGCTTACAAGTAACCACTTTTGTGAAATGGACGTTATATTACTGGTGTTAGCCACCCTGAGCATACTGAAGAATAGAATCTGCTTTAAAATGAAAAATCTCAATCATCGTTGCTTTATTGCTTTGCAAAGCCCATTTTGAGTTGCTTATAGTCATTTAGAAGGAACCCATGGATCCCAGTAGTCATTCTCTGTCATTTATTCTATTTTGTCCTATCTTATAGTTTCCATACTGTTGTGGGGCAGAATGCTTTCTAGCACATTTTCTCCATAAGCAAAAGGAAACTTAAAAAACCCAACATCTCAAAATTCAATAAGGGTTTATCTGCCGGGTGGTAGTCTCCCACATTCACAAGTCTGACATGAGCCAATTGTTGTGCTCTTTTGAACCACTTTTTATTGACCTGTGGGTATCTGGAGAACTTCCAATATTCATCAGGTGTCCAGACTGCAGACTCATATGTATTCCAAAGGTATTACTTGTATCCTTAGTTGAAGAGGCTTCTTGCTTCTTGCTTAAGTCTCTGCTTCTGCTAAGGAGCCCCCACTTCCTGTGATATGCTGAATTCTGATGCTGCTTCTATGCACAAGGAAGTACTGTCATATTAAACAACCTTGCTAGCTTGGACACATCTTCACAGAACTGCTTCTTAACTGTAGGACTAATTGGACAACACCAAATATGGTATGATGAAATTCTGAAGTATTTGCGAGCTGTGGCATTGAGGTTCCAAGGTATGTTCCAAGGTATGTCTTCATCTGTTAATCCTACGCAGCAGTAATTATGGGGAAGGATTTCAACTGAGGGCAAAGGTTATTGAATGCTGCTCCTGACACTAGATAGATGCCACCAGTTGTATTTATTATGCATCAGCATATAGCCCATGCTCAGGTGACCCCACAGCACAGTTTAGGTTCCATGGATGAGTTGTGCACTGGCATACATTTGAGTGTCACAGAACCAGCTGCCCAAAGGTGAAGTAATTCAACATCTCTTCTGGTGCAAGCTAGACAAGACTTAAATCATGCTCCCTCCCCCCAAAAAAACAACCCAGATCAGGTCCACTCATTTTAATGTGGGCACCTCTGTCACCAAATCAACCTGGAAAGCACAGCTTGGAGTGATCTACCATTGATGTGATGCTAAGTGCTCCCTTTAAAGTATAATGCAGGGGTCTTTTATGGATTCACTTTACTCCCACACCTCTAGGAATTATGGCTAATGAGTAGGCTGAAGGCTACACAGGTGTCCTGTTTAGGTGCACCTAGGAAGTTCTAGTGCACAAAAGTCATTGCACTGCTTAGCCTTACTTAGGATCCAAGGCACAGCACTTTGTTGAGCAATTTAACTGGAACTGCATTTCTGCCACTGAAGTAATTGCTTTATTTTTTCCAGACTGTAATCTACTGGATGATGAAGTCAGTGGTGTCAGTGGTTTCAGCGGCAGCATAATAGACTGTGGTCCAGAGACTCCTGACACTATTCCTTATAATGCCTCCAGCTGCATCTGTGAAAAAGGATATAGGATGGTGACCTTTGTGGGAATCAATGAGTGTATTTGTGAAAGTAAGTGCATTTATTTTTATCTGTGGTCTTCTTCTGTTAAAGGTGTCAAAGGTAGCTAGGGTAAAATCTGGAAAACCTGCATATATTTGATTTATTTGTAAGAAACATAGTAGAAGAAGTGGCAGACTGCAAGGACTTGTGGGCAGGGTCATTTTATTTTCCCCTCCCCCACTGTTTCTTCTTCCCCTTCCCTGAAAGCCCATAGAGACTCTCCCCTTTTTCTGCTTCCTTCTCTCCTTCCCACCCACCCACCAGCAGCTGAGTTAGTGTGAGCTAGCTCACAGTTTTTTAGCCTCCAGCTCACACATTTTTCTCTTAGCTCAGGGAGGATGGCCCCAGAGCAAACTAATTTATGCAGTAGCCAAATTGCTTGCTCACAAGACTCCATAGCTTAGAGGGAGCATTGCCCCCCAGCCAGCCAACCTACCTTTATTTGTCCCTCTATCTTCAGGTTTCCCTTCTTCACCCCCCTGGCAGTCTACTTCAGAAAAATATGGCCCAGTTTTCTGGTGCCGACTGCTGCACCAGTTCCAGTTATGCAGTATTCCCCTCCCCAACTATTTCCTCTTCCCCTCCTCTTGTCAGCCCCCATATCCTCATTTGCCCTGCTTCCTTCTGTCCTTCCCATCCACCAATCAACATACCTGTTATCAGCCAGCCTCCCATCTTCAGCTATAATTGTATTTCATTTACAGCACACCATTCTCCACAAAGGGGACCCAAAGCATCTTATGTTATTCTCCTCTCCTCAGTTTAGTGTAGTGGTTAAGTGCGCGGACTCTAATCTGGGAGAACCAGGTTTGATTCCCCACTCCTCCATTTGCACCTGACTGGATGACCTTGGGCAAGCCGTAGTTCTGATAAGAGCTGTTCTTGAAAAAGAGCAGTTTCTGTCAAGAGCTCTCTGAGTCCTGCCTACCTCACAGGGTGTCTGTTGTGGGGAAGGGAAGGGAAAGGAGTTTGTAAGCCACTCTGAGACACCTTTGGGTAGTGAAGGGCGGGGTATAAATTCAATCTCCTCCTCCTCCTCCTCCTCCTCCTCCTCTTCTTCTTCTTCCTCACAACAACCCTGTGAGGTAGATTAGGATGAATGTGTATGACTGCCTAAAACAGCCCTGGTATTGAGTAGTGGGTTGCCGCATGGATGGATGACAGACAACAACGTAGTGCATAGCACGCTTTATTGGTACACAACAAGAACGAAGAACAACGGCCGGCAGGCCAACTATATACATATCCAGGGGCACACCCCTGGGTCCCATTGGCGGGGTTGAATCTCCCGCCACGGTCCCATTGGTTCCCCCAGTGGAGGGACTAGGATCCTAGTCCCCATTGTTATTCCCGCTTCAAGCTCAGGGTGTTCACTGGCCCCCAGTGGTGGTCAGCGTACACAACACCTGGAAAGGGCCTATCCCTCCCTGTGCCTTTTACTGACAGAACGAAAGGTCTAAAAACTGTCAATATTGTTGTGGTTGCCTAGCAATGGCAAATTAGGGTATTTGTTTCCTAAAGTTACAGGTGCTGCTCCAATTATTTTGGGGGGTATATTGCCATTGCACCCGCATCTGGGAAGTGGAGTATCCAGTTTTGTACCTGTGTTTTAACACAGAGTACCTGTAAGGGCTGTGATCAGAGCAGATTTAAACAACTGCCTTGGCGGCAAGGGTGGGGTATAAATCGAATAAACAAACAAACAAACTGCAGCAACAGCTTGTGTCCCTTGTCCTCAGTGCCCTTTCAGTGCATTCCTCACCACCGAAGTATGTGTGCTCTAAGTGCACCACATGCAGCTGGGAGATATAGCCCATGCAGTGCTCCCTGGTATAAACTCTGTGTGTCTGGCCTGGCATTTCTATGATGTCATTGAGTGTAAGGGGTGTGTGAGTGGTTGCTGTCAGTAGAAGGTTTTGATTGGCTGCACACTTAACATCCTAAACTATGATGAGACTTGGGGATGGCGCCTGGGCTTACAGGGGGGAATTTTGATTTCCTCCTCCCAGGTGCCTCTGCGGACTATGCCATGGTTTACAGTAGTGTTACATTCTGCCAACATCTGGGATACACTGCTGAGAGGAATTAGGGAACTCAATCTCGCCTCACCTACTGCATCCTCACCCCAACACACATCAGTCTTTCAAATCAAGCTTGTATGGCTCTTGGTGGAAACATCATTGCTCATCAGCAAAATAATAGTCACCACATATCTGAAGTAGAGACAGATGTTGGGGAGTCATCTTTAAGCTGTTTTGTCTTTCACCAAAATGACTGTTTCTATATGAAGCCTGGTATATAGAAATGGTTACAAACTCATGCTAACGTCAAATGTTGAGTATCCTAAATGCATGTAGGCAGGGCCAGCGCGCCCACTAGGTGAACTAGGCACTCGCCTAGGGCGCGCCGGCCCTCAGGGGCGCCAAACTGCGCCCCCCAAAGCCCCACCACCGCTGCCCTAACTGGGCGATCGCCGCCGCCGCCATGGCGGCTGGTAAGGAGCAGAGGCAGGAAGCGCTGGGAGGTTGCGCCCTCTGGCCTCTGCGGTAGTTGAGCCCCCCCTCTGCACCAGAGAAAAGAAAGGCGGCGGGGATCGGGTCTCTGCCCACCCGCTCCTCTCTCTCTCTCTCTCTCTCCCTGTGTCAAGGGAGGGAAGCAGGGGAGGGAGGGAGGGAGGAATGCAGCGAGGAGGCAGAGGGCGCCATGGGGGGTAGGGGCACTCCTCTTCCTCCTCCTCCTCAGCAGTGGGCACGGCTCAGTGCAGCCCCAGCAGCGGCGCCAGGTGTGGGAGCTGCTGCGGCAGCCGCCCAGCATCGACTGGCGATCCGGGGCCCGCTGCCCTGCATCCGGCTGGCGCTCCAGCGGGCCAGCTGCCCTGGCGTGGCTGTTGCTACCGCCGCCTCCTTCTTCGCTGCCGCTGCTGCCACTGCTTGGCTCAGCTCAGCAGCAGCAGCCGGGGCTCCGGAGACGCTGGCCCCAGGTGGGCAGGCAGGCACTGGCACTTGAGTGTGCGGGGGGAGGGACCGGCGGCAGGACCAGAGGGATCGATCAGATTGAATTTCTACCCCGCCCTCCCCGCCGAGGCAGGCCCTGGCTGGGACCTTGAAGCTGTGGCGTTTGGTGAGCAAAAATCCTACTTTGTGAGCTGCTGGAATTAAAGTTCTGAGTGGGCAATTTGGCTGCTGCATGAATTAGTTTGCTCTGGAGCCGTCCTTCCAGAGCGGAGGCACGCCTACCCCCCTACCCCCCTTCAGTGGCGGCCGCAGCAGGGGGGAGGAGGCGGTGGCGGCAAAAGGATGGCTGGGGAGGCAGGCGAGGTTCTCCTGCGTGGTGGTTCCTGGTGGCCGCCACACACACACACAAGGAAGGTCGCTGGTTCCCCCCCACTAAAGGGAGAAGCGTGGCCCCTCCCCACACACAATTAAGGTCGCTGTTCCCCCCCTCCAGGGAGAAGCTGGAAGAAGCCCGCACGGGCGCCTTCACGGCAAGCCAGGAGTGCACTGGAGGAGCAGGGCAGGCAGCCAGGTGGGCGGAGGGAGCGGTCCCAAGGAGGAGGGCTTCTGTCTCTCCAGACCCCACCTGGAGGTTGGCAACCGCATACTTGGTGCACGGGGGGGCGCCAGAAGGTAGCCCTGCCTAGGGTGCAAAAAACCCTCGGGCCGGCCCTGCATGTAGGTTCCAATTAGTGTTCCCTCTAAGATGAGTTAGTGTGAGCTAGCTCACAGTTTTTTTAGCCTCCAGCTCACACATTTTTGTCTTAGCTCAGGAATGATGGCTCCAGAGAAAACTAATTTATGCAGTAGCCAAATTGCTTGCTCACAACTTTAATGCCAGTAGCTCACAAAGTAGAATTTTTGCTCTCAAGACTCCACAACTTAGAGGGAGCATTGGTTCCAATCCAATAAACAGAGAAATAACTGAATGGGCTACATCAAGAGCTGTGAACAAATTTATCAGAGTAGTTTTGTTGGTCAAATCCATAAAAACAATAGACAATCTAACATGCTTTACATGGGCAATTTCTGTTCCATTGCATCAGAGTTCAACATTTTGTTTTCCTTCACAGAAATTCCCCACCACTGCCAACCAGATATAGTGAGAGAAAATGACAATGTAATGAAGTGTTTAAATGCAACAAAACAAGTAAGTTTGCCATACTGTGTGTGAACTTAGTACAGTAGACACTTGCCATTCATGGGGGATCCATTCCTAGGATCACTGCAAATAGCGAAATCCACAAATACTGAAGGCAGAGTTCCCAACAGCAAATATCCAAATTTCCTGCAAAATTTAATGATCTAATTATCATGCTGATAGTATGGTGGGAATAAAGAGGCTGAAGACAACATCACATGATCAGATCGCAGAGTGCAAATAAGTGAAATGTCACATCATGAATCTGCAAATGGTGGGTGTCTACTGTATAATTCTCAAATCACAATGTTCACAGTCACGCTGGTTCTACAGAATAAAGAATACAAAATAGATTATATGTTATATGTTATTAGACAAACTGATTATTTTAATGTTTAATTTAATTTATTTATACACTGATTTTCAACTTTAAAAGTCCCCAAGGTAGTTTACAGCACAATAAAATAAAATAAGAGTAAATAAAAATAGTAATATATAACATAATCCTGTAAACATACAGTAAGAGGCAATGCAAAAAATACAATGAAAAATAGTTTCTCAGTGGTATCACTCCTCCTGTCACCCCCTTTCTTATACCTAAAAGGCCCTTTGGAAAAGGTAGGGCTTCAAACCCAATCTTAAGGCCTTTCAGGAAGCAGCCCTTCTTGAGGGGGGAGTTCCCTTAGGTTCCCACCAGCCAAACCTCTGCTAAGGCTGATTTCTAAGGGAAGGCTTTCTGGATTCACCTCAAATCTTGTGTTCATTGATACATGTAGAAATGGTCTTTCAGATTCTCTGAGTCTAAAGTCATGCATTATGGTCAAAACCAGCACCTTGTATTGTTCCTGGAAACAGATTGGAAGCCAGTGTAGATAGTATAGCACTGGCTTTATATGATCACCGTGGCAGGCACCTTTAAGGGCCCTAGCTGCTGCATTTTGGACCAAATGATGTTTCCAAACTATGTTCAGGTGTATGCATTCACTTATCAAAAATAGCATAACTTGTTTTTTGTTTCTAAAATATTGGTTGACTATATGCTTGAGAGGAGACTGATTTGTAATGGAGTCAGATTATTAGACTTTGACAGAGAATTAGCTACATAATTTTTTCTTAGATATTTTCTGCCCTAAGAAAATAGAAAGAGCCCTGTTGGATCTGACCCATAGTTCACTATCCAGTATCCAATTTCACACAGTGCCCAGCCAGTTACTATGGAGGACCAACAATGGGACATAGAGGCCTTCCTCTAATGTTGCCCCCTAGCACTGGTATTGAGAGGTTTTCTGCCTCTGAACATGGAGGTTTCCTTTAGTCACCATTGCTAGTAGCCACTGTATGACGTCCATGAATTTTCTTATCCCCTTTTAAAGTCATCTGTGCTTGTGGCCATAATTACATCTTCTTGCAGTTAATTCTACATTTTGTTGAGTAACGGTGGCTCTGGTCACATGGGCAGGAAAATGCGGAAGGGGAAGCGTGGCTGTTTGCCCCGGGGCAAACTAACCTGCGGTTAAGCGATCAGACCTCCCGTGGAGGTCCCATGGGTAGGGAGAGGTGCTGATCACAGGACAATCCTGCGTGCAACAAAGAAGTGGCGCGGTGCGGCAAACTAGTTTTTTTCGTGTACACCAAAAATGTGCATGCTCCGTTGGGTGCTTGTGGGCATCCGAGGAGACTTGGGGCGGAAAAAACTTTTTTGCAAGGGGACATGGGTGGGCGCCGGATGCCACCGGAAACGCGATCAGACGCCCGCCCTTGCCCCGCGGTTTCCGGAAACTAGTACCTCTGAGGTACTAGTTTTTTGCCGTGTGTCTTTGGCGGGAAGCCTCAGTTGTGCCACGGGAGCGCTACGCTTCCCAGATGTGCCGGTGAGATCGCACCCAGAAAATCCGCCTGTCTTCCATCTCTCTAGCATGGCTAATGTTCCATGTGACCGCAGCCAAAGTGCTTCTTTTTATTCTGTCCTGAATTTATTGTCCATCAATTTCATCAGATGCTCCCATGTTCTAGTATTTTCATAGAGGGCTTATGTTCCTCTGCTATCTTTTTTCTAAACTGAAAAATCCCCATCCCTTTAGCCTTTCCTCATAGAAAAGATAGTCCGACCCATTATTCATTATGGTTGCCCTGTTCTGTACTTTTTCTAGATCTGCAGTGTCCTTTTTCTGACCAAAACTGCCAAAACCAAAACTGCACACAGTATTTTAAATGACACCAGAGCATTGACCAATACATTGACCAAAAAACAATACAAGTTTTCAAAAACTTTCTTAATAATCACCAGCATGGAGTTTTTCTTTTTCACTGTTGCTGCCTGTTGGTTCAACATTTTCATTGAGCTTTCTGCTACAACCCCAAGATGTCTTTCAGTCTCATCCAGGTCAGTCATTTTCATTGAACTATCCAGCATGACTCCAAGGTCCTTTCCCTCTCAGTTTCAGCACGTTCAGTATCCATCAACATATACTTAAAGTTGGGATTTTTTTTTGTTCCAGTGTGCCATCACCCTATGTTATCAACATTGTATTTCATTTGCCACACTGGTGCCCACTCACTCATCTTGAAGAGAATCTTCTGTAGCTCTTCACATTCAGCCTTGGTTTTTACCATCCTGCTTAATTTTGTGTCATCTGCAGACTTGGCCACTATACTGCTCACACCCGATTACAAGGGCTCTGTGGAACCAGAATGGGAGGGAAGACAGAAGGCCTGTGAAACCAGAATTAGTGGAGGGAGAAAATTCTTAATGCTGTTGAAAGTGTTTTCATTGCAATATTGCTGCTGAAAGCCAAAGGAAATCTGAACCTTTATCAGGTCCCCGAGTAAGGCTTAACAACCTTTAATATGAACCTGCTTATAAACAAAGGGCTTGGGGGGGGGGGGCAGGTGCATAGGGCTGCATCCTGGGGCATGGAGGGAGAATGCAGAAACCAGCATCAGTGACATTATGATGTCACTTCTGGATTCATCACAGCATTAGGTGATGCTCTAGGAATTCCCAAATTTCTATGGTTTTTACCCTGATGCCAGTCCCCCTTACTTCCACTCAGGGGTCGTTTCGTAGAAAAAGAGCTAGGGGAACTCATTAGCATAACTCATTAGCATATGCCACACCCCCTGACATCACCGGAAGTGTGTCATAAGGCCACACACACCCCGCCCCCAACGGTCCCGGCCGCCGCCACCCCCCGCGAAGGCCCTCCCTGACCCCAGGCAGGCAGGGGTGGGGAGAGGCAGGGAGGAAGCAACTTACCCTCCCTCTTCTCCTGCCTCCTCCTGGCTGAATGAGGGCCGGAAGCGGAGCGGCCAGAAGCAGGGGGCGGGGCATCGTCATGTGCCCCGCCCCCGTACCTCACCCGGGGGAACTGCGATCCCCCACGATCCCCCCCCGAAATGACCTCTTCTTCCACTACTCCATGGAGCAGCACTGGGAGCCCAGAGCTGAGAGCAGGAGGTTGTGATAATGGGCAGCCTGAGAAGCCAACAGGAGTAGGGCTGGATTAGACATGCTGAGGCCCTAGAGCATGTCAAATTTAAAAGACCCCTTAGCATCACAACAATGGTAATCTAGTGATTTTTAGGGTCTTTATTATTTTTATTTTATTTATTTCCCTCTTAATCTAAGATCCTAAACTATACCTTTCTTATGGACCTGTGATGATCCCTGCATGGATTCCAGCTGGTCTAAATGGGAGACCAAAGACTGGCAGGACTAGTGAGAGTTGTTCAGAAGATAAACTTTAACATGAAACCTCTTCAAATACTCTTTCCTTTTGAACTCCTCTCTTACTTGGGGGAAGCTACGAACGAATAAGCCCTTACTTAACTCATACTGCTTTCACTTCCTTCTTTTGTAGCAAACTCTGCCCAGGAATTTAACCAATCATTTCCTTCCAGTGAACAGTTTTGCCTATGGAAGTATTCATCAGATTAGAATGTTAGCCAAACTGTTAGCAGTGTTAGAGCCAGAAGAAGGTTTTCTGCTCTTATATGTGATCATGTACATTAGGAGAAGGACCACAGCTCACTTTGCCTGCAGAAAAGCCTAGCTGAATCCCTGGCATTTCTGCTTAAAAAGGGTAGCATGTGCTGGCCCCTGCCTGAGAGTCTCTGGAGACCCGCTGCTGCTGACTGTTGGAGTAGGGAATATGGAAAATAGACAGGGCACTGCTCTGGCTTGATGTAAGGCAGCTTCATATCTTCTTCATCAGACTTAACTAGACCTTCTCACAACCCATCTAATGACATGCCAAACAATTATGAAGATTTCTGTTTCTTCTTACTAGCTGACCTCTGCCAACACAGATTTCCCCCCCCCCTCTTCTCTTAGAATTCCTCCGGTCATGACAGCAGCTTCTATTGCTCAGTGGTGGAGTCTGCCTTCAACCTCTTGTCATCTGCCTGTGAAAATGACAGCCTGGCATCTTCCTTGGAGGTGAGACTTACTCAGAACAGCGATTGAAGGATATACCTTGTTCAAACGGAACAGAATAAACAAAAAAGGAGGTGGTGTGGCACTATATGTCAAGAATGAATACACTTGCACTGAAATTCAGGATTTTGAGAGTTGCCCTGTTGAAAGTGTATGGGTAAGGATAGAGCAGGGGGGGGAAGAAGGGGAAATTGTTGTGGGGGTATACTACAGACCTCCAAACCAACCAGAGGAACTGGATAATGCATTTGTAGAACAGCTTGCTAAACTTTCACAGAGACAGGATGTAGTGGTTATGGGAGATTTCAACTATCCAGATATTTGCTGGAAATCTAACTCTGCTAGACATGGGGCATCCCGCAGATTCTTGAATAGTCTTGCGGACAACTTCATCTCTCTGAAGGTGGAGGTGGGAACCAGAGGATCTGCTATCCTAGATTTAATCCTGACTAACAGGGAAGAACTGGTTGATGAAATGAATGTTGTGGGATCCTTGGGGAATAGTGACCA